TGGGGCAGTTCTGCATCAGTAGCCATACCGTCTCCATGGTCACGTGTCCGCAATAGTCAATGATAAATTCTGTCAGATTTCTAAATCCACCAGCCTTCACAATTTGACTGATGACGGCATCAGTTATATGTTCCATGCCCACAAAATGTAATACAGTCAGGTTTACGTAGAGGTGCAGAACAGAGCAGAAAGTAAATTCTCCACCGTTACCTATTATTTTTAATTTTTCGAGGTTTTGGAAGTGTGGCAATTCAGGATAGAATGTTTCTGTACATGTCACGTGACAATAATTAATCCAAAGCGAACAAAGACCTGTACAATATTTAATTACGTCATCCAAGTTTATGTTGTCAACTTGGCACGCTTCTAAAATTTCAAGCCTTGGACCCAAACGATTAATCACATCATTAAACTTAATTTCGGTATAGCTGCACTCCCGAATCGAAATTGAAACGACATTTTTGAGTTCGCCGAGATCAGATATGTCCTCCGAAGGGCAATATACAAACAAATGCGTTATATTTGGGCATTTCTGAACCAATAATTTTGCATCTGAAATATCTCCAAGAAATACAACTACTGAAGGAAGACATGCTGTTAGTTTCCCTAATACAGGCTCAACTGGACGCAACCAAAATACATCCCGTATTTCTGGCAAACCCGAAAGTAGAGCTGCATATCTGTTTCCAGAAATTGATGTTTCTGAAATGTTCAGAGAAAGCAGGTTTCTCATCTTCAGCAAGTGCTCTACGCACCCATCATCCACGCTTTTGGAATCCTGGACAGAAATTTTCTTCATGTGAGGGCAATATTTTGACAGCTGGATAATAATTTTTGTAGTGCAGCCCTTGGGGAAGGAAAAGTTTTCGAGATTTGTCAAAATTTGAATTCTTTCCACAAGTTGCTGTACGTAAATGAGGCGTGGAATTGAGGGCAGAATCAATGTATTAATATTTGGGATGGCATACAGGAACTTAATTAAGATATCGTGCGCGAAACTGGAATAAGTGACACTTATATCAAATTTAGATATGCAAGGCAGAAGTACAGCTTTCAACATGTTTATGCAGACGCTCTCATGAACTTGTCTGTCCAAAATTCTGCTGATCAAGGGGCCATGATTATAGTCGGAAAAATTTTCGAGCATTTTTATAAATTCCTTGGTAGCATAAAGAACAACGAACTCCGATACGAAGGGAACAGGTAGCGAGGCGAGGCGTGCGCGCACCAGGACACACTCTTCCTCCACAGACTCGACCTCTTGGAGCCAGCTACTCTCGCCATTTTCAGCAGCTGCGTTCAGTCTGCGGATCCAGTTGACCCCCGCTCCTCGCACCATCTGGCAGACTTGTAGAAGCGCCATATTCTCCAGAAATTCCGGATTATTTTTCTTGCCCATGGCTCTTTCTGAAACAGACAAACAATTAGTCGCAGTTTTTCAAAATATTCATTGAATAAAATCAACGACTCTTAAAAATTATCCAAAGTATCCTCCCTCTTTCCACAGGCATAAGATGCAGTTGCTTCGTGACGTAGAGTAATTAAAGAAATGTCAGAATTTGATTCGAATTTTGGGGCAGACGACACACCTCGCGGGGCATTTTCGGTGAATACTGACACATTTCAAGATGGGGAATATGTGACATGTAATTACAGTTTTCTAATCTACAGCAATAGAATAAATGCGATCGGTGTTTTAGTAACAGCGTTTTCTCCCTCAAAGAAAAAGTAAAGGACCTTTTAGTTGATCGTGTGTGGTTGTATCCCCACAAACAGGCTACGTGTTTCGACTATTAATTTTCATGTTATTTTTCGCTCCTAACCAGGAAAGTAACATTCATACATGGTGCTATGACATGGCCGCTTCTTTCAAGAGGCTTTACCATTAACTGCTTCTTTTCAACTGAATCTCTCCTTAGTAGACTCGGAACTGACCAATATGTTACGAAAATAAATCACAAAATAAGCAACACGAAATATTGCCTGTACCTGAAGCGTATCTTACTGTGCCTCTGATAGCCAGATATTTATTAAAACACTTTCACTGCACCTGAACTGTAGACTTCCTGCATAACAGTACATACAGCTTACGTTCCTACGCCCAGAGATAATGTTGAATATATCGCTCCTGCTTTCCGTCGGGAGCAGCAACTGAAACTCACTCACTCATGGAGCTGAGTTCTTGAGAAGCTGCCAGTTGTACAGCTACTCTACAACTTCCCAGTTCTGTATGGGACCCGAAAGTTCATTACCGTTTTCACTAGGGCACTCTACTGGTCCCTAACCTGAGCCAGATCGATCCAGTCCATACCATCACATCCTTTCTCTCTAACATCCATTTTAATATTATGCACCTACCTAAGTCTTGGTCTTCCTAGTAGTCTATTTCTTTGTGGCTTTCCACCAAATCCTACATGCATTCATCTTGTCATTCGTGCTATATGCCCCGCCCATATCATCGTCTTTAACTTTATCATTCTGATTAATTTTGGCGAAGAGAACAAGTTATGGAGCTCCTCATTATGCAGTTTTTCTCCAACCTTCTCTCACTTCATCTCTCTTCGGGCCAAATATTCTCCTCAGGACCCTGTTCTCGAACACCGCCAGTGTCAGAGACCAAGATTTACACCCATACAGAACCACAGGCAAAATTACAGTATTGTATAATCTAATTTTTTTTTTGACAGCAGACGTGAAGACAAAAGATTCTGGGCTGAATGGTAGCAAACATTGCCGGAGTTCAGTATCCAATTAATTTCCTCCTGATCAGGTTTTCATTTGTTGTAACAGGATCTCCCCTAGCCCCTGTAATTCAGAATGAGCCCTCAGTCCCTGAGAAATGCAGAAGGCACTTCTAAATGGGCCCTGCATCAACAGCAGATTGACTTCTCTTCAGCGGTCAACGGTGCGGATCTTGGCATCGAAAGCTTCTATGCCGAGGTCTGGTTGTTTCCAATATCATCATCATCATCATCATCATCATCATCATCATAGGCAAGAACAGCCCTGTTTGAGCCACAGCCTGCCTCAGAAGGTCTGCCGCCCGCTTTCATATGATCGGATTTCTTACAGAGCATGGTTATTAGCCTTGCGCCCAACCATCAAATTGGAGGGCTAATTTCCTGTATTTATGCCCACCAGGATTAGGGTGGCCGAGGTACATCCCCATACATTGGGTTCCCTTTCCACCCCTTCTATGAATTACAGAGGCATCCCATTATAATAACATAAATTAAAGATTTTCATAAAAGTTTGTAATATTTGTTGTTGTGAACCAATATGTATACCAATCTCAACGGCGCAATTCATCAGTCGCACCCATCAGGCTGTGTGTATGTTCTTAGGAATGGCTCACTAGAAATGCTACCACGGCAAACATTGAACGCGCAACAACAGAAGAACTTCTGGACGCGTCGTTTTCTATCTGAGTCGTATCAAAGGAAAGCAGACAGTTAGTTCTTCCAAGAGCGTCTGGTTTAGATATATTGGTCACAATGCCAGAATGAGAGAGAAAAACAGTAAAATCAAACAATTAGGTGGGTCGATAATATTAAAATGGATCTTAGATAAGTTTAGGTTGTTTGGACTGAATTGATTTGGCTCAGGGTAGGAACCAGTGGAGGGATCTCGTGAACAGTTTAATGAACCTTCGAGCTGTATAAAATGTTGGGAAGTTCCTGAGCAGCTGCACAACTCGCGGCTTCTCAAGAAGGGCTCAGCACCATGGGGTACGTTGTGCACAGAACTTTCAGAATCACAAATACAAATATTGGGGTCGATTACTGCACAGCATGGAGCGCTATGACGTTTCGAAATACGTAAGAAGTCTCGGCGTCTCATCAGCTTGACACTAATTTTGTTACACTCTCCGGAATGCGTTTAGTGAAATTAGATTGCTTCGCATTAATGCTCTGACCGTCATGAACCGGAGTGACGTCAGAGTAACTGGACAGGGTAGCCCGGGTAGACTGGTCTGTATTGCCCTGTCAACGGCACATCACCCTCAAACTGAAGGACACGCGAATGTGGTCACGTTTTGTAGAGCAGCTTTCAGTCTCTTGAGCTGCTGTGTATAGCGAACATTGAACTGCCAACGCAGAGGGGAAAGTCGAAATTCAACCGTGTTTGTAAATCCGTCTCTTGTATTAAATTACATCAGCTAATTAAAATAATATTTTCCGAGTACTTAAACTCTCACGCAGAGTTCTATTGAAAATATTTACGTAATGAATTTACCAGTACTTTCATGAGTATACACTATTATACATTGTAGCTCCTACCTCCGGTCCCTCCAGAGCAATCCACAAGCGTCCCAACTCAGAGCTGACGGCCGACTAATTCATCTGCAATGCGGTATGATCACAGCATATGCACCATGTCCAAAGTAGAACAGAAATTTCCCTCTTTAGATAAATTTCAGTTTAAAGTTATGGAACGATTCTCGAATATAACAGCACAGCAAATTTTCACTACTTCTCTAACCCTTACGAAATGTACTGTTGTTCATCAAGTGGGGTGCCTATCACGAAAACGGTAGACGAATAATTGTATAAAACATCCACATTAGGGAACAGAAGACATATACAAATTCAAGAAAAGATAACACACGTAAACAATACACGCTCCTTCGTTATGTGAGGGAATGATTATTTATATTTGAGTGCATTTTGACTTCCATTTCAATGTCATCATTCAAAACTGTGTGTTAAGTGGTGTGTGATTTCATAAGCCATGCAGGAAAGTGGGTAACAGTGGAAAACTGTGTTTTTTTATAGAATGCTTCGTGTATCGTTTTCGTCATAGGCGCCCCCACTTGATGAACAAGAGTATATTTTGTAAGGGTTAGAGAATTTGTAAAAATTTGCTGTGCTGTTATATTTGTAAATCGTTCCAAAACTTTAAACTGAAAATTATCTAAAGAGGGACATTTCTGTTCTACCTTCGACATGGTGCATATGCTGTGATCATACCGCATTGCAGATCAATCAGTTGGCCGTCAGCTCTGAGTTGGGACGCTTGTGGATTGCTCTGGAGGGACCGGAGGTAGGAGCTACAATGTATAATAGTGTATACTCATGAAAGTACTGGTAAATTCATTACGTAAATATTTTCAATAGAACTCTGCGTGAGA